CACCAGACCCGGGAGTGGCAGTGATAGTGCTATGCGTCTACCATACGCCCAGCATGGACTTTCCTACTTACCATATATGTACATTCTTTTGTTCTGTACTTACTTGGCATCCTGCCATCCCTCCATATGATTCTGGTACGTTCTACGATGTTCCGGACTATTCTAGATAGCGTCCGGATTACTCGCATTACTCAGCCATGGACTATCTGACCTTATGTCGATTATGCTCCCTTACTCAGCGTTACTCATCGCTCAGTCAGCGTCCTCTGGACGTCACATGCCCTCTTCTTATACGCTTACTCATCGTCCTCCCCAGTAGTATATAAGGAGGACTCTGCAGGCCTCTGCTCTTCAGTCGTTCTCTCACAGACTGAAGAGTAAGTCCCATACTACCTATGCTTCCTTACATGTTTACTTACTAGTACTTGTAGCCTCTCTTTGTGCGGCTTACAGGTACAGTACTATGCAATCATAGTCGTTCTCTCACAGACTGAAGACCTCTCTTTGTGCGGCTTACAGCCTTCCAGGTTCAGAGTTCATCATTATCGAAGTTCACCAGATCACATCTTCTTAATAGTACCGGGAACCCTGCCGCCCTCAGCACTCGAGCAATACAAGCCATGAGTTCAAACAGTACGTCTGCAAATCAGGCTTTCTATTTCTGCTGGCTAGTAGTACTAACTTTCTGCGCAGACCCTCTGGAGAATCTGTCCCGTGAAGAACTCATGCAGATTCTCGCTTCGAGGCTGTCACTCGACAATGCGCCGCAGCAACAACGCGCCAGCGTGTCGGCGGGCGTCGAGCACACCGGCTTCGGCAATTCAATTTCCACGTCTGGCGCAGGACACTCTTCGTCTCATGGCCCCGCTGGAGGAATCCATCAGCAGACGGATGCGACAAACCCGGGACCGGTAGCCAACCCAAGTCCCATGCATATCTCTCTCCCCATCACGCAGCCGTATCACAGCGTTCGTGGTGGACTAGGCGGTGCGTTCTCTCATAACCCGCCCACGATGGGTACGCCGCCCTCTGCCGGCCCGTCGATGATTCCTCTCGGGCTTGGACATCCGTCAGCCACCCAGCTTCCAGGGTATGGCAGTCTTACACCGGCCCAGTACGTGAACCAGCAGCGTCTCGCCTCATCATCCTCCACCCAGCCACGGGGCCCTACTCGCACCACACGTGGAACACGGCGTCGCGGACCATCGATCCAGCCACCCGCCTTGGGCCGCGGCTCACGTCCCGATCCACTCGCTGCGTGCAAGACGACGGTCTTCGGAGCTGACGGGACGGTGCCGCATGCCGCGTTACAGGTGTGTGTCAAGGTATATCCGCCAACGGTAAGTGATATTGTACAACGGTAGCTCCTATATGTCACTAATTCGTTTTGTACAGGACAAGCCTCAACACCAGCTACTTGTCTACCGCGAGCTACGCGGCTCCTTCACAGAGGCACTAGAGAAGCAAGGGTTGTTATACAAACGCACATTCCCGTGCTCTACGACGATCAGTGGCCTTATCACAGACGTTGTCTCCCTGATGGAAATCTCTGAGCATGCGTACCAATTCACCACACTGGCAGGCTCCCACATCATCGCCGCAGAAGCCCTTCCGCTTCAGCTTCTTATGTTTCGAAACCAGGGGAAGGCACGCCTGGGCAACGGGACTGTGCATCTGTGTGTGGCACCCTTTCCGCTGGCAGCAACTCTCGCGGAGATTATTGACCCGCGTGGGCCGTACTATAAGCGCATTATCAATGACTCTGTCATTGAAGGCGACTACCTTGTCTTCCACCTAGGTGAGCTCCTATCGGATCGCTATACCCATATTCGCTTATTTTTGTATCGTAACAGCCTGCCGTATCGAACCGGTCATCTTCCACACGCTCGATGCTAGTGGACGTCGAGCCCACCGTTGTCTCTCGTCACGCATTTACGCCCGCTTTCCTTCCGATCGGGTCAGCAGGGGGCATTTGGAGGAGCTTGTGACGTCGGGAGGGGAGGATGCGCCGGACAGCGATGCAGAGGGTGATCCTGGCTTCTACACCTCAACCCCACCTCCCAGAACCCCAGCGACCACTGTTCCAAACTCGCCTACTTCCCGCCCATGGTCCCCTCTGCAGCTGGACTCTATCCCTGCGCACCCGCCTCCGACTCAGGCTACGCGTCCTACTGCTGCACAGCCTGCTCATCCGCAAGTCCTACAGGCGACTGCCTCGATTGTCACGCTTCATACCCTCCCTGGTTCGATCTGGGATCGTCAATGGTCCCCGGAGACGCCTCCCCGGACTATGCAACAACTCTCCGTCTCCGCTCTTCCTGCTGTGGTGTATCAGCATGCGCATCTCACACCTGGGGGGTCTCTGGCCCGTTCAACTCTGCCAAAGCTTGTCATCTCAGGAGGGCCCGACGTCGCAGGACTTGCATCCGCGTTCCGCGATCGTGTCAGCACTTGTTGCGACTTGGGCGACTTCACTGAGATCCTCTCGCCGAACCGCACCTTCCGAATGTAAGTTACGGGTGTCGTTGAATCTATTTCGTGGCAAAACCCGCTGACGGCTCTACTCGGCAGCGTACACACAGGTTTAGGAGAGATCGCTGGCCCTGAGTCAAATTCAACGTTATCACTCGGCAGCGGCGTGGAACGTGAAGTCCTACAGCTCGCATTCCAGCACTTTCGGGATGCCGGTGCACGCTGGTTCACTCCGAGGATGGATGGTCATCATACGATCGCCGTCTCGCAGACACTGGCATCTGCACGCTACATAACGCCTCAGCGTCTTCGAGAACTGCGCTGCTTGGGCGCCCTCACTGCCCTCTTGCTCATCAACTGTATGCCTCCGACACCCCTGGACCCCCTTCTGTTGCACTTCCTCATTTATGACTGCAACCTACACGCAGTACGTCCGGCACTCTGTGCTGAATGGCACCCTGATCTCCGTGCCTTGATCGACTCCTGGCTTTCTATCGGGCCGCAAGGCGATGTTGCTCCATTTCAAGCCCATTTCAGCTCTTATCATGAGCGCGAAGTAAGTGAGCGAGCTCCCTATTTGAGTGATCCCAGCTCACATTGCTTCTATAGTTAGCCTGCCTCTACGATCGCGATGCAAGTGCACACAAGGCACTCGCAGCAGAGATGTTGTATGTGTCCATTGTCGGCAATGCGCCGCCGGAGCATCCTGAGCTTCAAGCTTTCCGGGATGGACTCCGACTTCCTTGTCGGAATGGCTTCACTTTCTGCGACGTACGTTATCATCTACCCTGGCAGTCGATTCCCATCTAACACTGTTTGCCTTGTAGGTACAGAAAGCGTTCACCGGGGGCCCAGTGATGTTCTGGAGCCTCATATGGAACATGCATATCTCTTCGTTCACAGCCCTCGAAGATCATCTGGACATCAAGGCGCCGTCTACCGGCATGTGCGCCGCCCTGTCTAGTGCTTTCGGCGGTGGAATACAAGCATCACCTCGTGATCTATTGCTCGACTTCCTTCGGGGAGATGGCGTCCCGGACGCGAGTGCCCTGGAGAGTGTGCGTGATGGGTTTACGCCCGTCGTCCTCCCCCAACTGGCCTTTGCAGACCAGCCAGGTTTCCGTGCACGTATGTTTGCATGGGCTGCAACAGGCACAACTTCGCTTGCTCCTGGGGAGAAGATCAAGGTAAATACTCTTGGGCTTGTCCGATCGACTGGTTTGACTGATGTGGAACGTGCAGGTTGAGTTTATCACAGCGACCAACATCGAATACGGACCAGATCCGTCGGCGGCTGAGACGATGGCTGCTCAGGGCAAATTCTCCATCAGGACCTGCTTTCGCCAGGTTCTAATCCCTTACGGTTATCTTCTCGGCCTCGTCCAGTCCAGTGACTCACATGCTACCGCTCAGGTCAGGACCTATAACTGGTTCCTCTTGGAAGTTCTCAATGCCATCGGTGGTCATTCTATGCTGTAAAGTTCGAACTTCTCTGATTCTACTGTTGCGTCGTCCACTCCCTGCCACTTAATCACACTTTCAAGTTCTCGCTGATCCCGCTAATTTTACATATTCTAGTTATCATACTACCAGCACTGCCCGTTATTCACTTACATCCTATAGTACAGGCGTGCAGCCACTAACACTCCCTAACACCCCAGGCCATCACCCACCTCTCTGCTACCATACGTCTCGTTAATACATGCGACCACAACTCTTAGCTGTTCGCACATCACTGCACACTACTGAGTCACGCCGAACGGGACCGCGGGGATCCGCAGGAAACACCTCCGTGAACGTCAGAGAACACGCCGCGTCGGGGAAGAGTTGGGAGAGAAGTCGACGCCCTCCCTCGGTCTCTCACCCACAGTCATATACTCCTCCGCCGGGTCCGTTCGTGCCCACATCGCTCCAACCCCACCGCTCGCCTGCTCGCCCGGATGAACCCCAGCAGTCGCACGACCACCGTGCCGCCGTGTTTCGACGCCCCGCGCTCCGCATGCGCGAGTTCGGCCGACGGGTGTGCAGCTCGAGCCACGCGAGACGAATGGGTGTGTGTGCCCCGTCTGGCTGCTATCCGCCGCGTAGCCGCTTTGACCTGTGGACGCGATGACACGGATGTGGCGGAGAGCCGGATACGAAGGGCGTTGATACGGTGAGTTTTGCGCTCGTCTAGCCGCAGAGTGGGCTGACTGGACGGTATAGGTAATAGGGCGAGGTGTGCTCCGTGCGGCGGTCTCCCCGTGCGGTGTGGTGTAGCTCGGACATTGTGTCTGCCGCTGTAGACGTCGCTCAATGGAGTGTCCCAACTTCCCCGCTCTCAGTGAGTCTAACACCCCCTGGGCGGCCCGAGAAGTCGTCCTCGAGCTCCCCGCCCTGTACCTGTCTTGTCCCAACCGAGGTGTGTCCTATGCTCAGGGATGCGCGCATCTGTGAATACATCCGTAGTGCATCTGAAGCGCGGATCGTACGCTCATGCAGCAGCTATCGTTGTAGCGAAGTACAGGATAGGCCCTGCACTCTCAGCGCCGCGTGCTTTTACGGTGAGTGCGTCGAGTCTGTGCATAGGATCCCTCTGACGTCCTTACCAAGAAGTTAAAATGCGTGCCGGCATGCGCGCGATCGTTCCGGGGCTCGTCTGCTCGTCGAGTACACCTCACGGATAAAGGACGGCACAGCCCAGGAGGTCTGCTTCGCGTCCTACACCCGGCTCGCACGCGTCGATGTACGTGTATCTTCGCGTTTTCGATCGGCGGCGAGCTGTGCCAGTAGGAACTCACATAGGCGATATCAGACTCACCGAGGGCGGCGTGGGCGGTGCGAATCCGAGCACGGAGGACGGATCACGCAGCAGCACGCTCGTCGAATCATGGAAGGCCACGGACGCGAGACACGTGCGGGAATACGACATCTCGACGCGAGGCGTTCGATTGGGCCCGGAGGAGCACGCGCGGGGCCCCGGAACGGCTCGCGTCCGTGCGTCTAGACACAGAGGAAGAAGATCCGCGGCCCTGGGGATGTTTTCCGAAGCTACGTGTGTATCCGTCGTGTTTCGATTTTTCTCGATTTGATTTGCACAGCGCGCGCCCAGCCGACCTGCAGCGGCTCTGCGACTCGCCGTCCACACCCGTCCATACGCAATGCACGACAGGCGTGCACGTTTACATGTCGCGAGCAGGTCGACATCCTGCGGCTCGCGTTGCACATGCCCGGAGAATGGGCGGGCTTCGACGATACGATTTTTGGGATCCTCGAAGGCGACGTCCATCCCGCTAAAAGATCTGCGTGTGACACGTTCCTGTCTCGTCTCATTCGTCTTAAGCTACGATGCGCGGGAGCGCGCGAACGCGACATGCTCGTACAACATCCGCCAATCAACTCATCTGTTCATGCACCGCGTACGAGACCACACTGCTATCCGTTGCGTACCCACTTCGGGTCGATTGTGGACGTGGGCGCGTGGATGTAGCGGAGCACCGGGTACGAGGTGCGTTCATACAGTGGGTTTTGCGCTCGTTTAGCGGGAGATTGAGCTCACTGGACAGTACAGGTAATGCGGCGAGTGTGCTCGATGCGCCGTGCAGCGGCCTTGCACATCCAGTGTGGCTTACGAGCCCCGGACTTCGTGTCTGCAGACGCTGCAGACGTCAATCAACGGAGTGTTCACTCCTTCGAGCCCGCTCTCAGTAAGTCTAACACCCTCTGGGCGGTCCGAGAGGTCGTCCTTGAGCTCCCCGCCCTGTACTGAGCCGTTCGTACAGGCTCGACCCTTGTGTGCCAGTCCCCATTCGAGGGGAACACCCGTCCGGTCCTATCCAGAGGTCTTGGCAATCCCGCGTCCCGACGGCCTTGATCCGGCAGACAACAGCGCAGGGGAAACGGCGGCCTGTCCGCATCACGTCGTTCGACGCTGTGCACGAAGCGACGCCCCACAGAGACCTCCGTGCGACGCCCCGCCGAAACTGTCGTGCGGAATTCAAATCGAATCGCGCACCTCTCGACTCTCGACCGGAGTCTGTGAAGCGGTCATCGCCCACTGACCGGACGCCCTTCCTGGACACACGTCTCCCGGCTCGTCGCCGCTCTGCGCGGACTCGTGGGACAGCGGCGCAGCTGTACTCGTCGGGTCTCGGCGATGCAGTATGTCCTGTCTCGTCCCGGCCAAGGTACGTCCTATTCTCTGGGACGGGTGCACGCGTACAGTCATTCGTACTGCATCCGAAGCTCCGACTTTACGCTCTTGCAGCCGCTATCGTCGTAGCGAAGCTCAGGACGGGTTCTGTACTCTCAAGAGTCAGCGCCACGTGCTTCTACGGTGAGTGCGCCCACTCAGAGCATAGGATGCCAGTGCCTCTGACGTCGTTACTCAGAAGTCAGAATGTGTTTCAGCGTGCGCGCAATCGTTCTGGGACTCGCCGCCTGCTCGTCAAGCACGCGTCACGGCTAGAGGACGACGCAGCCTGGGAGACCTGCTTCGCGTCCTACACTCGGCCCGCCCGCGTTGACTTATCTGTATTTTTCCGTTTTCGATTGGCAGCGAGCTGTACCGGTAAGAAGCCACACAAGCGGCATCGGATTCACCGGGGGCAGTGTGAGCGGTGCGAATCCGAGCACCGAGGGAAAATCGCGCGGCAGCACGCTCGTCAAATCACGGAAGGCCACGGACGCGGCGGGATCACAACGTCTCGACGCGAGGTGTTTGCTGGGCCCGAAGGACCACGAGCGGATCCCGGGACGGCTCGCGTCTGTACGTTTGCGCACAGAGGATGAGAGATTCGCGGCCCATGGACTTTGTATGGAAGGTACGTATGTGTACCATGTTTCGATTATACATGATTTGCTTTGCACAGCGTGCGGCCAGCCGACCAGCAGCGTCTCTGCGAGCCCCCGTCCCCGTCTGTCCACGCGCAGTGCGCGACGTATGTACGCGTTCACATGTCGCGAGCAGGGCGACATTCTGCTACTCGTGGGGCACATCCTCGGACAATGGGCGGGCTTCGACGATTTTACGGGAGCCTCAAATGCGATGTCCATCTCGCCAGAACATCGGAGACGGATAAATAACCCACAGGTGCGAGTACACCCCCAGCAGCCTTCGTTTTCTCCTTCTTCTCCTGCGCGAGACGATCTTCCACGCTGGTGTCGATCTGTGGCGAGGGCGAGGGTGCGACAACTCTGAGTGCTTCCATGCGTTCTTGTATGCGCTGGCGAGTAAGGGCTGATCGCTCTTCAGATGTCAACGTGTTTGTGGGAACAGGGCGTGCGAGTTCAGGAAGGCAGTCGCACAATGCGTGTATCTAGCACGGTAAAACAAAATACACTTTCAGCCCGCACTTGTCCCCCGGTGTGCGACGTCTGTACGTGCACTCTACGATATGCGGTCCGCACAGGGTGGAACACCATCTGGATCGTCTGTTGCACACATGAGTCTCCGCCGGACATGCCAAGTCACAAGAGGAAACTCGCCTTCACGTCCACGCGAACACCGACGTGGGCATGGTCCTCCGTGACTGCTACGGAGAGCTCTCGAGACATCCAATTCGCTGACGACGACCTGCGGGCGGTCCCGAGCAGCGTGGGCGCACGCTGTCCCGAGCAGACGTGGTTCCGGGAGGGCGACGCCGTTCCCAAGTGAAGCTACTCGTTGCACAGTTGTACCAAGGTGAGCACAAGGGTTCGGAGATTGCTGAATGTCGAGGAGAGCTTCTTGGCGAGGACTCGACACCCTAATCATAGAAAATTGATAGATTGACAGGGACACCCTGTTCGAAGACGGCATTAATAAGGGCGGAGGCATGCGTGCGAACACTGCTGCGAACCGTGACTTCGAACGCGCTCAAAGCCTGATCCTAAATGGGAAGTGCCTTACCATATCGAGTAAGCTGGCCACACTGGCGCTCCGCCCCCTCCTTAACTGCGGCAGCGGCTGTCGCCCTCTTTCTCTCTTTTCTTCCTTCCTGGCACGGCATTCCTCTTCAAAGCTGCGCCCCCTGCCTCTCTATATTGTGAGTCTCATCGCTCTTTTTTTCTCCCCCTTCCTACCTTCTTTCTCTGCTACTGAGGCGGCGGCAGTCGGGTGCTGCGCTTGTACGCTGGGTTGTGCTCCGGCCCTACGACAGGCCGCACCTGCACTCTCCAATGCCCAGTAGCAACTCCTTCACTCCTTTCGAACTTGAATGGCCTCTATGCGGCGCAATCTTGCTTACCTTCCAGGTCATTTCTCTTTCATGTAGCAGGCCTGCTCATGCAGCCCCACCAGGTATGATTCGCTTCTCTACTACTAGGCGTGTCCCCCACGCATTGATGCACTGCCTCACACAGACGAGAGCCGGGCGAGTCTTCTCGCCATACAACACCATCACTAGCGGCCTGGACACTGTGCAACTTGTCGAGCTCGCCTTGTCCGACGACCAGCAAGGCCTGGACAGCTGGGAGCTTGCCCCGCTCACGCCGCTCTCCTCCCCTGACCTCTCGGCCGAGACAGGTTTTCCCCATTTGCCTTCCGGCGACCCCTCATGCGATCTTCTCCCACCATCGCTTTTTGGAACAGCGCCAGCCGTGTTCGCTAACCGCGACAACAGCACCGCGAACTCGCCCGACAGCTCCGCGAGACTTCCTCTGGACGCTGCCGCTCCTCCCTCCTCTGACCTATCTACCGACTCGCTCTCGGAGCCCCGTGCCACGCAGATACCCGCCACTAGCGGCGCTTCCACCTCACACAGAAGCGTGCACTCTAAGAATGGAAAGCGGGCTCGCCGCCAACGCAAGCGTGCTGAGGCTCAAGAAGCTGGGCTGGGACGGAAGGCAAGGTCGTCGCACACCAAGCGCGCTGCTCAGGCGGCTGCTCTCCCCAGGGCGCTGGATGTCAACCAGCTTCCCATGGCCAACGGTGCCTACACCGGGAAGAACCTGACGGATGCCGGAGCACCCTGCCGTACACTGGAGGAGCTAGTAGCAGACGGCTACACATACTTCAAGTGGGACGGCGCGTACGTTCTTCTGGCACGTCTTGCTACCGCTGTCCCTCACCGCTCTACGCCCCTCAGCACACCTTTCAAGATCATAGACAAGGACGGTCGCGTTATCGGGCTCCTGGCTGGACGGCCGGCGGACGCGTCGTGGGACGATGTGGCTTCGAGCGCATACAGTGCCATGGCAGGGGCCGCGGAGGTATGCCAGTTCAAACCCAAGCATTCCGACCATCGCCGGGGCCAGTTTGCGACACTTGCCACGGGTGTTTCGTTTGGAGGAGGGAGGATGGTGCGTTGATGCGTTGATGCCAGCACTCCTTGCTCGCAGCGGCTCATGCGCTGCAGGTACCAGGACAAGTCGACAACAGCAAGTGGAATCAGAAAGTCCTATCCGACTTGTGCGCCGTGCCTGCCATTCGGCGGCTCGCGGGATTTGGTAGCGGTGAGTGGGCTCGCTGTGCTTCTTCGCGCACCGGGGTGACCGCATTACTGGCCCTTAGCCATGCTCTCCACATACGCGCCGCGCATCTTCGAGAGGACCCAGTGCAGGCTCCGGGCACTGCGGGAACACCATCCGTCGCTACGCTTCAACTTTGACAACAGCGTGTACCCCGCGACCACCTTCAACTTCGGCCCCGCCACTGTCTGTGTAGATCACACCGACGCCGCCAACGACGCCTGCAACTGGTGCCACGTCGTCGCTCTCGGACACTTTGATTGCGATCAAAGCGGTCAAATAGTATTCCCGGACCTCAAACTGGTAGTCCGCTTCCCTCACGGTGCAAGTATTCTCATTCCCTCGGCCATAGTCCGCCATGGAAATACCCCGATCGGTCCGCAGGAAACGCGCATGTCAATGACCCAATACTGCGCCGGGAGCCTTCTTCGTTGGGTAGAGTGCGGCTTCCGCACTGTGAAGACGCTCGAGGCAGAGGATCCTGACGAACATCGGAGGTATCTCGCGGGTTTGAAAGAGCGGGCTCGAGAGTCATGTGCCCTGTTTGAACGCGTCGACCTCGCAGCTGTAGGTGGCTCCGAGTCGGCTTAGATGCGAAGAAGTGCGGTCCAGGGGTGGTTCGATTGGCCCGCGATTGTTGCTTTAGGCTGCCCCTGAACGCCTTGTGTATGTCAGTGCATTGCACTGCTCCTATAATACTCTGTTGATACCCCCGCCAGGTACCTACTCTTGCCCTTATCTGTTACTGTAGCTATATGACCAATCCGGCAGGTCATAGGTCACAACGACCTCTGCCCCGCCGCTTTCGGGCCCTTGTCCCAGGTCACCGCGGCCGCCCGCCACTTTATCCGGTGGTCCTCGGCTGGTCACACCGTTCTTAGGGCTCGCCAGCGGGCCCTGCGGGGCCGCCACACCGCTTTGTACCCGTCGGTCACGGTCCCTAGGTGCGAGCGCCGCTTTCAGTCCCGCCGGTCACACCAAAACCCCTTACCGGTTTGGTCATATAGCTACAGTACTATGAATATCTTGTGCTCCTCGTAATTAAGGTGACCCACATTCAGCTGCCAACAACATCGTCGAGAGGTCGACAACGAAAGCGGAGAATAGAATGATGACAGTATGGAGCTGTAGGCAACTAGTACTTATAGTAAAGAGTGATAGAAATTTTCTAATGAGCTAATAAGCACATTGTAGTCAGCCAGTGCCAAGATAAACGAAACAAGTAAACAAGTAACTAAATAGTCGTAGCTAAGTAAGAAAGGCCGTTGATGTGCACTCACCACGCCTGCCGCCCGCTGCGGTGTGGGCACCGCTCTCGAGCTCAACTGCCCCAATGCCTACTGCGAGGTTACGAGCACGAGCGGGAGGTCTGGAATGATCGAATGGATTAACTCAGTGTTCGTGGGAGCAAACAATGTACACCTGTATCTACCTGGAATGAACAAATGGATTAACTAGGCGACAGCGTCAGCGTGAATACGGGATGGGAACAATGGAAGGGGCATCTCACCTCAGTGTTCATGGGAGCGAATGATGAGGTGGCAGAGCGGACACGCTCGAGTATACTTGTGGATAAGAGGTGATGCTTTGCACGCCAGACCGATTCTACCTAAGCTGCATGTGGCACGCTTACTTAGTGCACTACGGTGCCGCTCGCATTCTTATGACACTTGCTTTACATGATTGGAGGTGCATAAGACTTAAGTCGTTGATACCGCCTTTCCGTTATGATTGTTGTGTTGATTACAATTCCATCAAGCAATATTGTTTAATGTAGGCAGCTAAAGTTGCCACATAGAACATCTTCAAGTTGTTCAGACAAATTTATAAGATCCATCATGAACTCGCATGATCCCACTCATGCAGGTGCCTGTCGTCGAAATTTGAAGTACAATCAAACCAACATGCACTGCGCGGGGGACGTAAGGTACGTAGCCAGAAGGCGCTCAAGCGGTGGTGACTCCGCTTCTGACTGGAACTGTTGGTGAACATACCTCTGGCGGTAAGTGTTCTACTGCCACGGAAATTGAGGAGAGTAAAAGCATAGCAGATCAGGATACAGATGCTGGACCGCAGAAACTTGAATGAGTACGGCGAGACAAAACCGGCGTGAAGTGAGTCGTGACGTTCTACGTTCGGCATTTGCCGGTGGTGGGTTTCTCGCACGTGCACACTGCAACCTAATGCTAGCTGATAATCCGATTCTTGGTAGAATCGGAATGAGAGCGCGGCCGCTCGGGCACGAACAGAGCATTGGAGATGCAATCACTTTGAAAGTAAGCTAATGAGTGTATAAGCAAGTAAGTACTAAATTGTAAGTCCGCAATGTGGTATAGTAAACGTCTGATTACAACACACCCCCTCAAAGCGAGCACAAGTCAAACAGCACAGAGAGGTGCTCGACGTGCGGACACGGCAGGGCCTTCGTGAAGAGGTCGGCTGGCATGTCCTCAGTGCGGCGATGACGAGGGAGATCTTGTTGTCGTCGACCGCTTCGCGAATGAAATGGAATCGAATATCGATGTGCTTGGTGCGCAGGTGGTAGGTGTTGTTTTTGGCAAGCACAATCACTGAGCGGTTGTCGCAATGGAGAGTGACGGGGTACAAGGCAATGTCGGCATGCAAGATGTCGGCGAGGACATAGTGGAGCCAGATCACCTCCTTGGCGGTGTGCGTGAGAGTGATGTACTCCACCTTTATGCTTGAGAGGGCGACAGCATTTTGCTTCTTGGCAGACCACGAGATGGTGCCGCCGTCAAGCGTGAAGACATAGCCCCTGATCGAGTGCCGGTGCTTGGTGGACGAGCCCCAGTTGGCATCTGAATAGCCTTGGAGGCCCTCGTGCTTGCTGCCGTACACGAGCCAAAGCTCGCGTGTACCCTTGAGATAGCGCAAGACGCGCTTCACGGCTTCCCAATGCGGACGGCCTGGATTCTGCATGAATTGCAGAATCCAGGCGACAGCGAACATGATGTCTGGCCACGTGCCAGTCGCTGCGTACATGAGTGAGCCGACCGCCTCGCGGTACAGGACATCCCACATGTCCTCGAATTGGCACTGGGTGGCGGGCGACTGATGCTGTCCAAGCACACCGCCTGGCTGCATGGGCGTGGGCGTCGGGTTGGCGTCCTCGAGGTTGAACCAAGCAATGATCATGTCGATGTACCACCACTGCGAGATTGCGATCATCTTTGCCTCGTGGTCATGCTTCACCTCAATCCCGAGAATCCAGTGCATGGCGTTGAGGTCGCTCATTTTGAAGCGGGAGTTAATATCCAGCTTGAACGAACCGACAAAGTCAGGTGTGCCTGTGATTGTGAGGTCGTCAACCGAGGACACAACAATGATGGCCGACTCGCCATCACGCCTGTACCAGACTGTGAGGTTGGACGCGCAACGTGCAAAGCCCAAGCGTTGTCGCAAGTGATCCCCATCATCTGCGAGATCGACAACGGTGAGTACTGACTGCTTGTGTCGTATGGACATTATCTCACCTTCTCTGCGATGCCAAACTCTTTCAGCACCCCGGCGAACGCACTTGCCAAGTTCACACCGCTATGCACCCACGCAACCTCGATGAAGTCGAGGAGCAGGCACACAGGCTTGCCATCGACCACAAAGTGGACCGTTATCGCCATGAATGCCCGGTGGTTCGGCGCCGACCACTCGTCCGATGCAAAGTGAAGGTCGCCTTCATACTCCTGAGACTACGGTAAGCATGCGATCGCTCTGTGAGAACATCGCTGATAGTGCTCTCTACCTGCAGAACCTTCGCGATGTGATTGCGCGTTCGCACGAAGACGACCTTCAAATCGCGCGATACCGTCGATGGCGATGGCACGAAGTACCCGGGGTGGCCCGTCTTCAGCAACGACAGCAGCGCGCGATCTTTGACGATCTTGAATGGACGTAGGCTCTCAGCAACCCACCGGACGAACTCCGTGCGCGCCTCGACACAGGTATGGGCACGATGGCTGTAAGTGACCGTGCCCGTCTTGCGCTCAAACACCTCGGTGATTGACCCATCGCGCAGGAGTGATCCAACGATCTTATCGCGGACTTCATCAACGTTCTTCGCATTCTTGGCCTCGCGCACCGCGTCATGCCCCCAGCAGCGCTTCGCGTGGCGTTGCAAGTTGCTGGTGGACGCCTGGTCCTTCTTGTCGAGGAATCGGTTCACCGAGATGTCACAGCTGCGCGCCGCGCACCTGAAGGTTAGCGCATGGCGAGCTGTCGGGCCGACATATTTGATGGTGGGCTCATGATAGAACGCGTACATTGGTGAGTTCCACCTTTTCTTCAGCCGCTCTGTGACGAGCTCATCAGTGGCATGCACCGACCATCATACTGACATCTACTCACCCAAAAGCGCCTCATCGTCCTCATCAGCGGCCTCTACCAGTATGTCGGCGTCAATGCCGGCATCGTTCGCGTCCTCGTCGTCCCCGCTTCCCTCAGAACTCGAGTTATCGTCCACATGTATCGCTTTGTCGCTAGTTGTACCGCGCGCACTTTTTTTGCTGGATGTATCGGCGGGCTTGTGCGTGCCGCGCGACTGTTGCGAGGTGCTGGTGCTTGTCGAAGTGGACGCGGCCTTCACGGGTGCTGCTTTGTTTTTTTTCGCAGGCGGCGGCGGCGGGCTAGTACTTTTGCGCGCCCGCGATCGCTTGCTGGTGCTTGCCTTGGTCATGTAGTCACAAGTGCAGATGTTCGGGGATATAGGCGGGTAGCTCACGAGCGAATAGAGCAGGAAATAAATTTAGATTGCCTGTCATTTAGACTCAGAGCAGGAGGCCCAAGAGAAACTGTGCAGCACTACCGTATCCGGCAATGATGTGGCTGAGAATTGTATGTCCGAAGCCCCAGCCTCCGCCCGCCCGTGGATGTGCTATGCCTTCCATATTTGGTAGCCGGGTGGTGGGTACGGCGCGGGTGCCCATATGTGGACCCGCACCCGTACCCGGGCGCCTAACCCGTGAAAACCCGTGAAAACCCGCCGCACCCTTGCCATTCCCTAGATATGTACATCACCGTTCCGAACGGAAAGGGCGAAACCACCCGCGTCCTCCTCCGTGACGTCCTCCATGCCCCCGCGATGGGTGCGACCCTCGTATCCATCAGCCGCGCGACGGCTGCGGGCGCATCCGCAACTTTCCACAAGGGCGGTTGTCGCATCTCGAACCTGGCAGGCGAAGTGGTCGTGGATATCCCAATGATTGACAGACTGTACCGCATCACAAACGCGAGCAAGGATTTCGCTGTGCCCGCTGCCGAGAAAGTGCCACCTGCAAAAGGAGAGTGTGTAGTCAGCATCGACGAGCTCCACCAGATGATGGGCCATGTCTCGTACAAGGTTGCGCGCGCAGTCGTCACGAAGGGCCTTGCAAAGGGCATTGTGCTCGATTTGACACCCGCACCAGCTGTCTGCAATGCGTGCGAGAGCGCAAAGATGACGCGCAAGGCAATCGCGCGCAAACACGTCCGGCCGCGTGCCGAGAACATCGGAGATGAGCTCCATTCGGACCTGTGGGGGCCCGCGCCCGTCCAGACGCTCGGCGCGCGACACTACAACTCAATGTTCATGGACGACTGCTCGCAGCTAGCCTTTGCGCACCTGCTCCGCTCGAAGGACGAGACCTTCGACGCCTACAAGAAGGTCGAGGCCTTCCTCCTTACTCAGAAGGGTGTCTGCGTTGTCGTTTAGCTGATGCACGTCTGTAGCTCACTCGTTTCTCGTTCAGGTAGCTACTGACACAATATCATCGTTCTTTCCCCGAACGCTGAGCTCACTCATTTCTCGTTCAGACTTCGTCCGCGCTCGGCTCTAACCTCGCAGGTTATGAGCCCTGCTTCGATGTCGCTCACCAACACCACCGCCAACGCCTCAAACCTCTTCACCGTCCCCAAGCTCGCTCAAGATGGCTCAAACTGGATCACCTACAAAGAGCGCATGCACACTGTTCTCGGCGCCCGCGGTTTGATGCGACATCTAGTGGGTACGGCACGTCGTCCTCCCTCTCCCCCTCCCTGGCCCCGTCCGAAGCCCGAGCCCGCGCAGAGTGCCGAGCGAACGCCCGGTCCTACGACCGAGAGCGAAGCTCCGAGTACCGCGTGAGGTGAAGCTGCAAAGCCTGAGCCCGGCTCCAAGCCGGACCCGCTCGCAAGCCTGTCGGACGACGACTACTTCGCCAAGGTTGAGGCTGATGAACTCTGAACCTGGAAGGCTGTAAGCCGCACAAAGAGAGGTCTTCAGTCTGTGAGAGAACGACTATGATTGCATAGTACTGTACCTGTAAGCCGCACAAAGAGAGGCTACAAGTACTAGTAAGTAAACATGTAAGGAAGCATAGGTAGTATGGGACTTACTCTTCAGTCTGTGAGAGAACGACTGAAGAGCAGAGGCCCGCAGAGTCCTCCTTATATACTACTGGGGAGACGATGAGTAAGCGTATAGGAAGAGGGCATGTGACGTCCAGAGGACGCTGACTGAGCGATGAGTAACGCTGGAGTAAGGGAGCATAATCGACATAAGGTCAGATAGTCCATGGCTGAGTAATGCGAGT